CCGTGCTCCCCTCCCCCCACCCCTGCACAAGACTGGGGCTCTGTGCTCCCCCTGCCCGCCCAGGTCTGGGGCTCTGTGCTCCCTATGCAGGGGCAGGAATTCCCTACCAGGTTCACAGTGAGTGGGTGGGAGGCTCTGGCTTCAGGAGGAGACCAGAAGCCTGGTTTGCGGTATAGACGCGTTGCTGGGGCCGATGGCTGAGCTCACCGCCTTCTGGGACCAGATGGCAGACGAGCGTGGTCCCCAGCCTGGAGTCACCTGGATGCTGGCCTGTGTCCGGGGTGACCAGCCTCCCCCCACCCCAACCCCCCTCACCCAGAGCGCCTTCACCCGCCCGCGGTAGTCGGTGACCCGTGTGCAAACTTGGGTGAAGATCTCTACCTGGAAAGAGGCCAGTGCGTTTGGGGCAAAGGGCCCTGGGTTTGTCTCTTGTTAAAAACGATTTCGGTGTCCTGTTTCCTAGAACCGTGCCCGGAAGAAAAGACTGAATATCATCATTGTGGCGGAAGGTGCCATCGACACCCAAAATAAACCCATTACCTCTGAGCAAATCAAGGAGGTGAGTGTGTCTGGTTTCGTAATGCTCAGGCGCCAGCCTAGAAGTGGGGGATTTTAACAAGGCTGGCGGGGTTCGCGTTTGGAACGTTGTGTTATTATCATGGAAACATTTTTTGTTCTTCCTGATGTTTAAAAATGTTTTGGTAATGACTCATAACTTTTAACGGCAGGAGACTCCCGCGGCTCGGCTCCCGCGTACTGTCCTCAATATCCCCAGAGGCCTTGGGAGCCGCCCTGACAGTTGAAACGCAGCAGGGGAGGGACAGGGACAGGGGGTCCCGGCTCCGGGCGCCAGCCGCCCGCCAGCGACAGGGGTCGGGCCCAGTGTTCTCACAAACAAGATTGCCTTGTTGGGTTCACGCCCGTGCTGCGTCCGGCCTCCAGGGCAGCCTTGTTACAGCAGGGCTCGCCCGAGGGCGCTGGCTTGTCACAAGGACCCGGGACGGGAGGGATGGGTTAGGCCGGCGATGGCTCGTGTCTGGACAGAACGCGGGGGAGACAGACAGACGGGCAGGCAGCCTCCGGTTGAAGCTGTCCATCAGGGCAAAGGACGTTATCGGCTGCCTTTGCGACCTGGTTTCTCGGTCCTGCTTTTCGTTCCTTCCCAGACCAGCCGTGCAGCTGAGTATTAGAACAGGGGGATCTGTCTGGGAAAGTTATCTGCCATTATCGACAAGAAGTAATCAATAAGATCAAAGACTTTCCTTTTCCCGCTTAATCAAGTTGAGATTGAATCATGGGATACGAGAGCAGGAAGGACCACAGGCGCCACCTGGCCTGGCCCGTTGCTGGTACAGGAGTAAGAGGGGTGAGTGCGGATGGCAGCCCGGCCCGGCGACGCTCACGTGGGGCCGCCCTGGGGGGACCCCGTGGCTGACCACGGCGTCCACGCTGTGCTTTGCATTTACAGCTGTGCAGACTTACGGTGACTGGGGGGGAAACGTCTGCATTTCTAGAAGGTATTAGTAACGATGTGCCCTGATCTCAGCTCACCATTCACCTAAATGTTCCTCTAGGAAGCGAACTTTAGACACCCGAAGTCTCCCCCGCGTAGGTCCGAGGAAAGGACTCCCGAGTCCCCAGCCCCGGCACAGAGCACGAGATGACGTCCTGTGTCGCTCTGTTTCCCACAGCTTGTGGTCACGCAGCTGGGGTACGACACGCGGGTGACCATCCTTGGACACGTGCAGAGAGGCGGGACTCCTTCGGCCTTTGACAGGATTTTGGTGAGTGAGGATAGACGTCGTGGGGCGCCTCCCCCCAGGAGCGAGAAGGAACGTGTTACCGGGAAGTCCGACGCTCACAGAGCCATCCGGTGGCCATCCGGTGAAGAGCGTCCCTGCCTGCAGAGCCCTTGGCTTGTCCTGGAGACCCGCTCGGCACCCCCGTCACCCAGACGCTGGGGGACCCCCAAACACGGGGTGCTGAGGGGGAGGACGACGCATGCAGGTTTCTAGATGCAGGCCCCAGGGTCAGCAGAGGCCAGTCCAGACTCGTGGGTATTGGTCTGGGTGCTCTTTGCACCTCCGAGCCCCCTTCAGGGCCCCCCGCCAGCCACCTCGTAGTGGGGTCGAAATCTCGTCGAAATCTCCCCATTGGCGGTGGGTTAGACATGATAGGATAGACCGTAAGGAGCTCATCAGGACCCATGCCGGGGGGACGGGGGGACGGGGGCACACTGGGTCCGGCTGAACACGGGCCAGGCCTCTGCTCACGGGTGCGTCTGCTCACGGTCGTGCCTCCCCGGAGCTGGTGGACGTGCTGCCCGGACCCGTGACCTTGCCTTTGACCTTCGCGATTGTCACTTACAGGCCAGTCGCATGGGGGTGGAGGCCGTGGTCGCCCTTCTCCAGGCCACCCCAGAGACCCCGGCCTGCGTGGTGTCGCTGAGCGGGAACCAGGCCGTCCGCCTGCCCCTGGTGGAGTGTGTGCAGATGGTGAGTTCGCCCGGGACGCCGGCCGCCGCCCGTGGGGGAGGCAGGGGCTCGGTGACACCAGGACGGAGGCAGCGCGCAGCGGAACCTCCCCCAAGATGAGCTCCGTCTGTCGGGAAGGAGCGTGTGCACATCACCCGTTTCTGCCAACAAGACGAGATGTGTCGGGCCGCGGGTCTGTGAGGCGTCCGGGGCGGGGGGCTTCACGGGGTGCGGTGGACGGGGCGGAGCCTCTCCGATGGCAGCCGCCCCTGCCCTCTGTCCCCGAGGACATTCCCATCTGAGACGTGGCGCTGGAATGCCTAGCTGGGGTGACATCCTGGGGTGCACCGGCCTCCTTCGGGCCCCGGGGGTGGGGCCCCTGCACGCAGCAAAGCGGGCTGGGGTTTTCGAGGCAATTGGGCACCACGTGGGGTGGCAGCGAGCTGCATCAGACGTTGTCAGTGTCTTGTCTTTCCCGAGGCCTGTTTGTTACTGTCCTTTTATTTGGCCTTTCCGGTGGCTCTGAGGCGTTTGTACTTTATAACCTGTGCAGAGAGGTGATGAAGCAATTCGGTCTTGGACTTGTTGCAAGTGGCCGTAGAAACGTAATTGCCAGAAGGCTTTGGAGTGAATAAATGCGTGTGCAAGTGTGCATGGCTACGTGTGTGTATGTGTGTGCATGTTTCTGCTAGTGCACCTGTGCGTGGCTATGTGTGCATGTTTCTGTGTAAGTGCGCGTGGCTGCTTGTGCATGTTTCTGTATGTGCAAGTGTGTGCGGCTGCGTGTGTGTTCACGTGTGTGCGTGTCTATGTGTGCAAGTATGCACAGCTGTGTGTGCACGTTTCTGTGTGTGCAAGTGGGCACGACTGTGTGTGCGTGTTCCTGTGTGTGTGAGTGTGGATGGCTGCGTGTGTGTGCACGTGTGTATATGAGTGCCTGGCTGCACGTGTGTGTGTGCACCCGGTGTCTGTCAGGCACTGTCCCCGGGGTCCCGCACGTTCCTACAACCCAGATGATTTTGGAAGTTGGGCTATTTTTCTCAGGGAACAGATGAGGGAATGGAGTTCAGAGGCGTGAATAACTTGCCTGAGGCCCTCGGGCTGGAAGGGCCGAGGCGGTGTGAGTGGTGCTCCCCGGGCCGCCCGCCCCTGCTCCGTCCCCAGGAGGCCCCCCCTCCCGAACCGGGGGTTGCCCCCAAGGCCGTGTGCGAACTCCAGCTCGCCCTGGCTGTGCTGCTGTCCCTGGGGCCTCAGGGTCTGTGGCCCCGGCCTTGCTTTATCACGGCAGCCTGGGCTCGGCCCTCGCAGCCAGGCAGGCGCAGGTGCAGCCTCGCTGATCCCGGGCTGCCGGCCCGGACGGTCGGACGGAGCGCAGGGCGAGGAGGGAAGGGCCCGGTGTCGGAGTCGTGACGTGTTCCTTCTTCTTTTCCTGACTGGTTTGAAGACCCAGGACGTGCAGAAGGCCATGGACGAGAGGAGATTTAAGGACGCCGTGCGACTCCGCGGAAGGTGACTCTCCCGAGGGCGCTGCTCTCCTGGGGCCCTCGCTCCTCAGCGGTGCTCAGCCGTGCTCCAGGGCGGTGCTCCTTCCCAGCCGAGAAAGTCAGGCCGAGCCCGGCCTCGGGCAGCGTTCTGCCGCCTGCAGGCCTTGATGGGGAGCGGCGGGAGCAGTTTGCTGTCCGTGTCCTGGCTGGTGGGGTTGCTGAGGACTTGGCGAGGTTAGGACGGGACGTGGCACGGGGCTGGCATCTTGAGAAGGAAACCCGAGTGTGTGAGAGGCCTGGTTCCTTGGCCGCGGACACGACGTGCCTCCTACGTAACTGGACGCACCAGGGCCCGGGAGGTGGGGTGACCGGCCCCGAGAGCCCAGCGCAGGCCCCTGCGGACGGTCGGTCTGCTTCGGCACAAGCCCTTCCCCGACCCGGCCCCCCACGCCCTGACCTTGGCCCCGACGGCGGCCTCTCCTTCCAGGAGCTTCGAGAGCAATCTGAACACCTACAAGCGGCTCGCCATCAAGATGCCAGATGACCAGATCCCAAAGGTGGGTGCCGCCGCGGGTCGCTCCCGTGAGGCCCCCCGTGTCCCCCACGGACCCTGGCGTCCTGGGCTCCCGGGCTGCGTGCCCGCTGTGAGCCCCCCGCGTGCGAGCCCTCCGCTGTCTTGCAGAGCAACTGCAACGTGGCGGTCATCAACGTGGGCGCCCCCGCTGCCGGGATGAACGCGGCCGTGCGCTCGGCCGTGCGCGTGGGCATCTCCGAAGGGCACAAGATGTTTGCCATCTACGACGGCTTCGAGGGCTTCGCCAAGGGCCAGGTGAGTCCCCGGGGGGCATCGTGGGGAACGGGGGCCTCCCTTCCAAGGCTTGAAACCTGGGGCCGTGTCATGTGACGAACGCGGGGCCCAGATCCGCCCTGAGGCGCACGTCCGAGGCCACGTGGTGCTCGGCAAGGAACGCACTGCCCGGTTTTCTCAGGGGACGGTCGGCAGTGACGCCCGTGGGGCCCGTGGACGCTGGCCCGAGGCTGTCCGCGTGGGGGATGCTGCAGGCCCGGTGCTCAAGAACGGCGAGCACCCGAACGAAAGCCTTGCCGGAGAGAGCGGGCGCTTCTTGAGTGCTTGCTGTATACACTCCCTGATCCTACGGGATCCGCACGTGAACCCATTTAAGTCTCGCAGCAAAGCGGCCGGGTCAGCCCCATTTTGCTCACTTGATCAAGGTCACACGACTCAGGAGCTCAGATAGCGGGGAGGCTGCAGGCCCCACCCCGTAACCCAGCGTATCCTGCAGGGCAGTGTCTGTTCCCCCCGTTATTTAATGACAACAGTGCGCGGAGTTCTTCCGGGGGGCATCCGGCTAGGGACAAGGCAAAGCCTCGCTCGGCGGGGTTGCACCTTCAGGAGGGAGAGGACGTTGAGGGAACAGATGGTTCACAGGGTGGTCGCTGCCCAGACCCACAGAGGAGGGGTCAGCCGCGGGGACGGGAACTCAGACCACAGACGGAGGACGCGGCCGCAGCAGCAGCAGAGTCGGGAGGTGCAGGCGGCCGGGGGGCAGGTGGCTCGTAGGTGATGATAGAGTTGGGCTTGTGCCGGGAGCAGACAGGGCTTTGAGCAGGGGTGTGTGAGTGCATGCTGAGGGTCTCTGACCAAAAGCAGGAGCAGAACCAGGAAGATGAGCTGGGGCTTCTGCTATGAGCCAGGGGGAGATGGTGA